CCAACCCCCCCCATCCCCAAGGCAGTGCTACTGACTGATTTGTCTTTAGGCCATTCCCAAAGAGGGGTTATTAACATATTCGTGTGCACAGTAGAATTGCAAATGGGCTGATTTATCAATGTCATACTCATACAGTGCCGAAACGACATAGGAGGAACTGCTGCTTTTCTTTCCTCATCCTGACTGGTCATTTTCCTCTACTTCTTTTGTATGTTTGTCACTCTCTTGTGACCCGTTACTTCCAGGGAGCCTTGATAGTCGAGGCCGACTTTGTGCTATTGGGGCAAGAGAGGTGAACAGAGTAAGCCTGATTCATCGTTTGGACTTCTCTTTTGGCATCTAGCCCATGGCGCTCATATGACCTTATGTAGTTGCTAGCGCCGTAAAACCTTACTAAAACTAAAGGGTCCAAGCAGCCTGACTCCTTAACTCTTTAAGGGTGAAGTGGACAGATATATTATTACGTCCGATCAACAGCAGTGCAAAGGCAAATGTTGTGGCATATTTCAAATCATCACACACAAATCAGAAACACGAACTTGCATAAAATCATTTTTGTAGTACGGTGTGCACTTTGTTTAAGCTTCAGTTGCAGAAAATAGAATTGAATAACCTGTACGAAAAACGAAGTTAAGCTTCTTTTGTCATCGTGACCCAAACGTGCGTCCTCAATAAGTTAAATAATTTGAATTGTTTTCGATGAGGACGTGAAAAAACAACAACAGATCTACAGTGAAAACAAGAACAACAACAACAACAACAACAACAACAACAACAACAACAACAACAACAAACAGATCTACTTACTTTGTTTTCAGACCTTGAAATATAAAAAAAATTGAAAGATGAGAATTAAACTCAGTGACCCTCCTCTAACGTTAGACCTATCATTGTATGAGAGCACCAATCAGAAAGCGAGAAAACACACACGTGATTAAAAAACAAACGTCATCCATTTGCGTGGAGATACGAAACAAAACCTGCCACACTGAAATGAAACAGCACAAAACCGGAATATGATTTATTACCTCGACTACGCGGCTTCATCAAATGTATTACTAGGAGCATGATGGGTACTTTTGTTTCGTTTTTTGTTTTTTTTTGTTTTATTTTGGTTTTATAATTTGAAAAAAAATGTTTTTCTTTACTTCGGTTTTTCCATTTTAGGTAATTATAGATATGCTTCGCATGGGTGGCTTGCGTACTTCACCCTTATCCACAGCCCCTGTTAACAATGGGATGAGTTGATTTTTGCACGACGTGTTGCTTGTTTTTAGTATAT